GATGACAAAACATCATTTAATGCTTTATTTATTTATTCATTTCTTAATATTCAGCTTTTAATTTTAAAATAAAAATAATACTTCATAATTATCTTGTAATGTGGTAAAAAAAACAAGAAAAATAAAATTTACGGAACCAAGTTTGGACTTAAAACGAACAATTACCGTAAAACCGAAAATTCTAAAAATTCGGATTTCTCTCTTTTGCTTTTGAATTTTTATTTTTTTTTTCATAATTACTTTGAGATTGTGATATTTTCTCTTGTAAAAACCATACTAACTTAATCTTGAAAATAATTTACTTATCATCTATAAACGATTAATAACTTTTACCGATTTACTGAATAACTTCTACTGATTTACCGACTTACTAAAAATATGGGGTATTACATCCGGGCTGGGCCGGTTACAGGCCCAACAATTGAGGCCCGCCGACCCGGCAGGCTGGGCCGGGCCGGGCCCAAACCCGGCACCTGGCCACCTTTAACCAAACCACTAACACAATACTAAGCAAAGCAAAGGATATTTCCCCAACAATTCCTTTGGATTGAACTATGTTTTGCTTATTGTCTTAGCATGAGAGGAAAATGTTCCATCTTTGAACGTATATGTACCAATTTCGGCTTTGATATTTGAGCGGGCCATAAAATGTCTATCAAACTAACAAAAACATCAAATCATCATCAGATTCCACCATTAGAATTCAATCCATTTTCTTCTCTTTACCCTCATTATTTAATTCTTCCCAGCAAAACTTGCTTCTACATTAATTACAAAGGTCAAAAAAGAAGGAAAAAAAAAAAAAAAATGGTTCGCATATGCATTCGTATCCCCTCTCTAATATGACGTCACAGTACAGTCAGAACTCAGAAGGGCATAATATGAGTAGCTTTCGTATTGTACCAACACACGCCGGAGCCCTTGCCGAGGGACCGGAAAACCCTCAGCAGGTCGCCACACATCCGTCTGACCGCGGGCGAGCATTCTCTCTGCAGCAGCAACAGCACCTTCGCCTCCCCGTTCCCTTCCTCTGCAGCCGCCGCCGCCGTCGCTCTCCTGTCACCAAACAGGCAGCAAACTTTCCACAGCACCATCACCGCGTGTTCTGTGGCCGCTGGCGACAGCTTCATAAGCTTCTTCACAATCGCCTGCGCGCAGATCTCGTCCCTGCAGATCTCGCTTCTCCCTTCCCCGCAGGCCGACGCCATTTCCAGGAGCCTCAGCACCTTCTCTGTCGCCGGCGCGCTCATATCCGCCTCGAGTGCCGTCGCCAGCGCCCTCACGCCCCCGGCTCGCACCATCCTGGAAAGATTTTTCCTCGCCTGCGCCAGGCGCGTGAGGAGGCTGAGTGAGGCGTCGACAGCCACGGGGTCGGCTATCAGAGTGAGGAGGGCCAAGTAAATATCGTCCTCTTCCGAAATTGATTGCATTTCCAGACAGGAACGCTCGGCCATTAGATCCACAAGCTTGGCCCCCGCCGTTCTGAGGTCGGGGCGCCCCTTTTCCTTGAGGGCAATCGCGATGGACGCCGTGAACTGAGGATCCCTTGTCTGAACCCTACACTGAATTGCATTATAGTCGTCGACTTTGGTGAGATTCTGGAGAAGGGCGTTACATAAGCGAATGATTTTCTCCATATGGCTTAAGTCCTTGATTTTAGGGACAAGGGAGAGGAGCGGGGGCAGAAGTCTCCCGTTGTCTTCTTCCGGTTGGGAAGTGAGGTTGGGGATATGATGAAGCAAATGGGAGTGAGGGAGGACGTGAGTGTGTGGCGGAGGGGACCAGATTTGGATGAGGTGGTGAAGGGTGTGGTTGGGGACGAGGTCCTTGGAGTGGAGGAGCTGCATGGTGGCGGGGCAGGTGTTGTTGCCGGCGTCGAGCCAGCGCTGGATGTTGGAGCGCTCGTAGGTGACGCCGGTGCAGAGGCTGACGGGGGAAGTCATGACTTCAAGGGAGATGGGGCACAGGAAATAGCTGGGCACTGTCTTGTCGTCATTCACCATTTCCTAATTTCTTTCTTATTGGATTGGATGATGAGAGAATAACGAATGGATGGAGGTTTTATGTTTTTGATGGATGGATGCTACCTAAGAAGAAAAGGAAATAAATAATAAATGAGTCAAAGAATGGTGGGGATGAGGACAATGACATACATGATACATACTCCTGGTCCTTGATTTCTTTTGCTGCTTTTTTTTTTTTTTTTTTTTTTTTTTTTTTTTTTTCTTTTTATTATTATTTATATATTTATTATTAATAAAAAAGGAACAAAGGAAAAAAGAAGAATGGAAAGTAGAGAAACAAAAGATGTTATGGTGTGGGATTTGGTCTTTTCGTCCGGTCAATGAAAAAAGTTTGTTTCAGGTGTGGGTGTGTGCGTGTTGGCTGGAATTCACAGAGAGACGAGTTTCATTTTCACAGAGTGCTGTTTGGTTCTCCACTTGCTTTTGTCCCTTTCCATCATTACCACTCATTATTTTTCCTATTTTTTTTTTTTCACCAAAGTGTAAAAGGAACAAATTACAAGGCCCCAACGGGGTAGTCTAAGGTCCCAACAGGATAATGAGATAGGGGCCAACGGCCCAAACCAAAAACACGCTTAACAAACAACAGGAATAACAAACTGAGAGGACTCGCACAAGGCGACCTAGAGAACTCCACAACCGAAAAATAAAGGAAAATGAAAAACAGAGCTACTGCACAATGCCTAGCCTGTATTCGAATAAAAACGAACAAACACTGAAAAGATAAAACACCATAAAACACACAATGAAAACTAAAAAAACAAAACCACCTAAACAAAGAACTAAAACCATCCCTCCCCGACCAAAGCTTCCAAGAGCACCCAAGAACCAAAGCCAGCAAAAGGAAGACCAAGACATTGAGACCCCGATCGCCGCCACTGCCATAAGCCTAGCTAAAACGGGACCCAAAGTCCCGAATCCCACCCGAGCCAACCTGGATTGCCTACGCAAAGACCTCAAACCCCACTCGGCTAACACAACTAACCAAGTACCAATCCTACCCCGGAAATGCCAGACCCGAACAACCGGCCCCGACACTACCAGAAAGAATCGGACCCCCACCACCCCCAAGGGCTTCTGGGAGAGGGAAATCACAGGGCTCTGATCCAGCCCCTCCGACCGACTGCTGAGCCCGGCACCAAGAACGCCACAGACAAGAGCCCGCACCTGCAACCGAACAAACCGAGCCCACCAACAACCGAAGTGGAGAAAACTCCGCACAGCCTCCAAATGCAACCACAACGGCGACCTCCGTAGATCGGCAATTTTCCTAATTTCTTTATGAGTTCCTAATTTCTTTATGAGTGTAACTAAATACAACCCCCAAATTACTGTTTACTGCCTTTTTAAAAGACAATTTTACCTTTTTTATTTTAATTTTTTTTTTTTTAATTTGGCCGGCCGCGATTAAGCCGGCCTAAGGCCGGACCGGCCACTCCTAAGACCGACCTTCTTTGGTGGTCGGCCGGCGGCCGGCCCAATTTTTTTTTATATAATTTAAATATTTTAAAATTATATAATTTATTATTTTTATTAAATATTAAAGAAACTAATTAATAATTATTAATGTAAGTTGCTACAACATTTATAGTCATTCTTTTTCTTCATTGGACTTTCTCATTCAATATGGGATAACTGCAAATCAAAGTTCAGTCTCCCAACCTTTTATAGTCACTTTTGGCCTTTATTATTGTGTTGTAATCGATGTGAGATTGTCCAGGCCTCTAGCCTTTTATAGTTACTTTTTACATTTTTTTTTTGCTTTCAAAACCAATAGGGGAGTAAAAGATCTATGCTTTAAGCCTTTAACACACTTTCACTATGTATGTCAAGATGAATATCACATTCTCACAAATTAAACTTATTATTATCTTAAATTGAACTAAATGAACATGAAATATGAGAACACACTATGGGTTTGTACATAATAAAAGAAAATGCATGTATCATCCCACTTTTTTTTTTTAATAAATGATATAATTTATAAATGTTTAAATATTTAAATAAATATATAATTTACTATTATTATTAAATATGTTATTTATTAATAAACATGTTATATGTAATTAATATAGTACTAGTACAATACCCGTGTATACACGGGTAATTGTTAAGAAAAATATTTTTTAAATTAAATAATAATAACAATAATTGTTTAAAATTAAATATATATTTTAATTAGGCTAATTTGAGGTTTTCATGGAAAGTAATGAGTCCATTGAGAGCTTCCAAAATAAATCAAGGTTATATTAGTCTATCACTGTAATTACCAAAGGTTCCCATACAACATAAGGGTTATATTAGTCAAACTATTATGAAATTACCAAGTTAGTTTTCAATATTTTTGGAATGTCTGAACCTGAAATTATTATTTAGAATAATATTATTCTTTATCCAAACCAAACTACGAATCATGTTTTTTCGCCAAGTAGAATTCTGAAGCGTGCGAGGCTACCACTAAGCTCAACACATTTTGCAATTATATATAGAGGGGATATATATTAGTGAAATTATAATTAGTATTGTAATATAAGTTGAAAAAATTGTATAATTTTATAATTAACTAGTTTGTATAATTATATAATCAAAAAATATAATTTTATTAATCAATATATTAATTACATTTTTATATTAAAAAAGTATATACTATAATATATAATATATTAATTGTAACTAATATATTATATTAGTTATAATTATAACTAATATATACACTTAAGTAAATAACATATTTAATATAATAATAAATTATATAATTTTTAAATTATTTAAACATATATAAATTATATTTTTTTATAATCAAATATTTATCTATTATATAAATTATATTAGAATTTAGATATTATGTTATAAACTAGAATTTATTATCTTCTAGTTAGAATTTAGAAATCATTATATTATAAAATTATATTTCATTAGGTTATAGAATTTTATTATTATTATGTTAAAACTTAGAAATTATTATGTTATATAACATAATACTAATTATCTCTAACAAAAAACTAATGAGTGAGGTTATTAAAAATTGTAATCCCCTTTTTTTGTTAAATCCGCTCCTTTTAACTATGTAATAAACTTTAAAATACAAAATAATGTTCTTAATTAAATTTGAAATTCAGAATAACAAATTGAACAGAAAAAGTTGGACTATGTTCGAGCAGTTCATTGAGACCGATTAATTCCGTATGATTAGACCGAATTTTATGACAAGATTGTTTGACACTTTTCTCAGAGTTATATGATTCGTGTGAATATTATAGTAGGAAAAGCATTCAAGCTCATGTTTAGTTGAAGTATTAATGAAAATATTTTGCTTCATTTTATTTTTATCCATTTCCAAATGCTATGCCACATTATAACTAAACAATTCAATAACAATCAACGTATATGTCCTTGGTCTAAAGTCAATCATAAACATAAGTTAAAATTAACATATAAACATGACCGAATACCATAATATATCAAGTGACCACATTCCATCTTATTCGATCGAGTACAACGTGGATCCCATTTAAATATAAAGCAGCGTACAATTGTTTGTAGCATTGTCTACTGGATTTTTCTCCTGAATCGCAACCAAAATTACTGTCGGTTTTTCTTGAGCAGTAGCCATATCACGGACCATCTCTTTAGATGAAGCACTAAGTCCACTCATCTATCGATGACCTTCGGCATACACATTCATTGTAGATCCTGCCTCCAATTTAACTTTTATCTCAAAAAGGCAGTTGGTCGCTTTTGTTTTCAAACGTCTCACAACAGCCTTAGCTAAATCTTCTATACTACCTCTGTAATGTCCCCCTCGGTGACACCTCAAAACCCTATGCTTTCCTTCTTTTTTGTGTTTCGAGATGATCAATTCGAAATCACATATAATTGCAATTTTTTTTGCTCCCGCTCGATAGCTTCTTCTAAAATAGTAGTAATAAATTCTAATTTATAAGATAATTAATTCTAATATATAATACAATAATTTCTAACTTCTAACATAGTTGTACTAAATATTACTTCATAAAACAATCAATTCAAATTCTGTACCATAATAATTTCTAACTTCTAACATAATAATAGATTCTAATTTATAAGATAATCAATTATAATCTATAATACAATAATATATGGAGTTGCTCTGCAACCTTCCCACTATAACGATGTTCCCTCTACAAAGGTGTATAATACAAAATATGTGTTGCAGTTTTTATTCTGATATCACATTTGTACACTTGGTATCAAAGTTGAACTTTCACCTTTATCTTTACTTAAAACAATTTTACAAATGGGCTTTGTGGTTTATTACTTAGTATTCCTCTAAAATCAATCATTCGCGCTAACGATCATCTTCTTATTTTAGTACAATAATAATGCACTCATTTCTCGTTACCATGAAGTATCCCACAAATAGCTTAATTTTTTACCAACCTTATCAGTCCTATTATTATCAACCTTCCAGCATGTGTGCCGTAATGCTCTGAATTCGGATATGTTCCTGACAAAGCTTATGCCTTGTCCATAATTCATTCAGAGTATTAACTAGTAAACTTAGATAGGGCTATGTTGAGAACTTATATTACTATTTGCACAACTCCAATAGGAAAAATAAAATTCCTGATAACTCATCCTTGACATAACCAATCTACTCGAGACATTTTCCTTCGTCAAGATCGAATCTTAACATCCAGTAAGTATTTCATGATTTTTCTAAAAGGTTATTAGTCACTACTATTTCGATCGTAGTGTCACTGATACATTAATCTCGACATCTTTCCACAACTGCCATTGTACTCTCTCGAAGTACTCAAGCTCATGGAATGTCACTTAATGTACGCTGTCTTGAATAAATTTCTTCGAATCAAAATATTCAAAACTACCTTTTGTCCTATAGGACTACACAATTTGGATAAATCAATCCTAACACTTATTTGGCTTCTAAATCTTTCGACCTACAAAAGGTCATGTTTTGTGATTTCAGCTACCAAGTA